GATTTAGTTAGTAAGCTAGTCAGCCTGCTTTTTATGATATAGATTACCAGGGGCATTCTGCAAGTAAGTTTATTTTTGAGTTAGGCGTATATTAATTTCGGAACTTCTGTTGAAACATTATTTGTGAAGTTAAGCTTACAAGTAAATATAGCCTGTGCTCTGTTACCAGCGTTATTGAAGAAATAAATTAATTCTTTATCGTTACGTGGTCTGGACTTCGCGTTATTTTTACCAAAAAATCCAAAAGAACCCACTCAACTTCAGAACACGTTGCAACAATAAAGCTTGGAGACAGCTTGAATGGGTAGTGAAAGAAACTTTATTACAAGTGTATAAAGTTTCGACAAGCTTATATCATCAATAGGTATTCAGTTTGTTTGTTTTTTTTACTACCCAACTCACAAACAAAATTGAAACTAATATACCAAAGAAAAACATTACACCGCAGTTTACCATTCGTTCCTGAAACCAATTCAAAAAAAATTTACACTTGGAAAAAACTTGTCATTAAACATAAAATCCCTGTCAACCTCAAATTCACACAAAAACCTAGCCCTAAACTAAAATCATTACTAAATGAAAATTATGTAGAATTATACAATATCAATGTATTTAATAAAATAACGTGCAATAACTGGAAACCAGATTCACCGAACATAATAAAATAAACCTCCTAAGTTTACCATCATTGTAATTTAAAAAAAACAACTCAGTATATCTATACAATACAAAACACTATTTTAAAACGTATCAAAATTCAACAAACGGAAAATAAATTAAGTTATCTTAATTTAACAAAATAGTCCTACTTTAAATTAATACCCCGGGGCACCAAGATACCGTTACTAAGCTAGTAAGCAATCCCTGGTGATATTACCTCTTTGTTCCATATTATATATATATATTCATATATCTATGTAAACTACTTGTACATGATGATAACATAAGATAAGCGAGACGTTGTATACTTGTAATAGTTTCTTGCACTACCCATTCAATCCTTCTCCAACCTTTATTTTCTAATAAGTGGGTTCCTCGTCATCAAATCTCAATACGTTACAACAACAATATTGTTAAAATTAATTTCATATATTACGAAACTGAAAACAGTACCTAGAATCTCGAATGCTTTCAAAGAGTAGCCTCCTCTTCATTCCGAAAGCTTTTTTTTTTGGAAATTTTTAACACATTTTAAAAATTATAGAAAGTAAGGTTTGTCTCAAAAAACATAAATACAATCTTATACTCTAAGATAATTTAAGTTCCTTTATTTAAAAACATTGGGTATCAAATAATGTAATATAAATTATACGATGTCAGTATAAAGTTTCACATCTTATTCTGTTACGTATTAAGCTATTGGTTTCTTCTTATTCTATAATTTCCCCTCTTATTATAATTTTGTATTGTTTTTTTAATTAATCTGTCTCCATTTTCGTTCATACAACATAAACTCGCTCAGTTGGCCCTAATGTTTCTAAAAGTCACAATAACACTGACAGTAAAAAATGGATAAAAACATTGCAACTACTCATTACCTCTGTTTTATATAAACGGTAGTAGTAAATAATTTCAAAAACTTTCAACTACGACTGTGTATGTTGAAATCCAACCAGTATGTTGAACTTTGGTGATGGATGAAACGTCATGTCGATAACGACGTACAACAGATAAAGTGTAGTTCATAAGGTTTCAAGACAGCTTGAATGGGTAGTGAAAGAAACTTTATTACATTAATACAAAATTTTGACAAGCTTATGCCATCATAAGCTACCTGATGATGACATAAGCTTGTCAAAATTTTGTATTGATTCAATAATGTTGAGGTCTGGACTTTGCGAAGACTATTCCATGATGTCCAGCACTCCACTTTCTTATTTCAAGTACAGTTTAGTTGCACTGGCCATATGTTTAGTATCATCATCATCGTGGAAAATTCACCCATCTTTTATCAGTCCTTTCCAGAAGGTATAGTGTGAGGTATCAGTATCTGCTTATATCTTGCTGCATCCATTCTTCCATCCATATTTACCAGTTGCCGAGACTGATAACCTCCATGCTTCACAGTTGGTTGAAGCACGTATCGTCGCATTCATCTCCAGATTTTTTCCTTACATAATGCCATATTTTCGACCAGAAGATTGCAAATTTACTCATTGGTCCATACGATTTGTTTCTGTTACTCTTGGGTCTATTATTTATGTTCGTTGCAATATTTTAACCACTCTGCCTTTACGTAAGAAAAATACTCATCCTTTAAAACTACTCCTCACTGAGGATCTTTGTTTAGTGAAAAAATTAGCTTGTATCTCTAACAGATCTGCTAGTTCTTGCGTTAATTTTTGGCTTGAGGAAGTAATCTTTGGGTACTATTCATTTTGTTCAGAGTATATAAATATATATAAATTTACAAATCTCAATCACAGTAATTTTCCAACAATAAACTGTACATATTTTGTATAATACAAACGTACAATGGTTGATGACAAATCTTTAAGAGGCTGTGAAATAACAAAGATAAACACTGTACAAACATGGTACTACAACACAACTACCTCGGTTAAACCTAAAATGTTTATGTTGCTAAAGTAATTTCACTTCCATAGTGAAGCAACCACTCTTCATTATTGTTATTTTATGAAGTGAATTAAACCAATTTGTGCAAGCTCAAAGGTACAAGAAACTTTTTTTATGTATTGATCTTTCTTGGAATTTTTTTTTCATTCACAAAACCAATATCAATTCCTAATCTACCTTCTAAAAATTTTAAATTGCTACTTAACATTCAATGTATTCTAGATATACATGTTCCTTATAGACACAAAATGGTGACTGCAAGTAAAAGAACCAGGTTGGCTCTTAAAGGACAAATTTAATGAAAAGCATTATAAGTATAAGAAGTTTGAATTCACTGCAATGACAGACTTGGAAGACTATAGAAGATAGAAAGATATGGTCAAATGCAAAATTAGGAAATCAAACAAACTATGTGAAAATAAGGTTGGTTGAAAATGTAAAAATAAATTGTAAGGACTTCTTTAAATACATTGAGGGTAAGAATAATGTAAGGATGGTGGAAGTATGGCCCTTTAGGGATGATACCAGAAAGCTAGTATCTGATGATTATGGGATGACTGGTTATTAAATTCTACTTTTTCTTCAGATTTTACCAATGAAAATTTAAGCAATATTCCTCAACCTGAACAGATGCTCAATGGAATCATGGTTGAACAAGCTGATCCGATTACTTCTGTGCCTGTTAAGAAGAAATTGGAAAGTTTAAGGAATAATAAAGCACCTGAGTCAGATAATATTTACAAAAGGGTTTTGAAAGAGATTAAGGATTGAATAGGTGAGCTAATTGCTATTATTTTTTCTACGTTCTTGAATAGTGGGCAGATGCCAGAAGATCGAATATTAGCTAATGTTACTCCTCTTCCCAAGGGTGTTGATAAAAATTGTTGCAGTAACCAAGTAATTATAGGCCTATTAGTCTGACATCAGTGGTGAGAAAAGTTTTTGAAAATCTGATAAAAGATGCTTTGCAAAGTCGTTTTAAAAAATTTAATATTTTGTTGGATAGTCAGCATTGCCTTATAGTCTTTGGACATTCTTTGAATAGGTTACTGCATAGGTAAATGAGGGTACAGGTGTTCTTGTGGCACATCTGGAGTTTCAAAAAGCATTCGAATTAGTGCTACGTGAAATGCTTCTTAAAAAGGCTTATAGGTGTGTGGGATAGATTTGCTCATTGGACAGAAAACTGGCTAGACGGAAAAAAGTAGAGGATTGTTATAAATGGAGTTCAGTCAAACTGGATTAATGTTATAAATGGAGTAGCTCAGGACTCATCAGTCTTAGGACCTTTGCTCTTTTAGATTTACACCAATGACATAGATGAACGAATGGTCAATAGATAGTTCAAATTTGCTGATGGCATTGAAGTTTTGTATATTGCTGGTTGTGAGGAGGAAGCTCCTGCCTTACAAAAGTTTCCATTATCTAGAGAGTTGGGCAAAGAAATGGCAGATGGCTTTTAATTATAATAAATGCAAAGTAATCCATGTGAGATATCACAATTTGAATTATAAGTATCATTTTGATGGGAATAACCTTAACAGTGCTATGGAAGTAAAAGATCTTGGTGTTCTGGTTGATCAGTTTCTTAAGCCATCCAATCAATGTGCTGTTGCTGGTAGCATGGAAAAGTGGATTTTAGGTTATATCTACAGAAATATTGAATACAAGTCTAAATAGGTTATAATGTGATTGTGTGGGTCATTGGTTAGGCCACATTTGGATTACCGAGTTCAGTCTTGGGCTTCTTACCTTAGAAAAGACATTGAATTGTCGGAAGGGTTTAGAAGAGGGTTACTAGAATGGGAAAGGCTATCATATGAGAACAGATTAATATTTCTTAACTTGTTTTCTATTCAAATAAGAAGTGTTAAAGGGGGTATATAATTGAGGTGTTTAAGATTGTTAAGAGAATTGATGATGCATCATCCTTTTTCATACTTAATGGTGAGAATGGTAAGACTAGGGATCACAAATCTAAATTCTGGCAGGGTAGGAGTCATCTTCAGTCACGAAAGTTATATTTTTTTGTACAGGGTGATTGGCTTCTGGAAAAAGTCTGCCTTCCTAGATGGACAAAATGGGCTCTTGCTGTCCCATAATGTTATGTTGTAACATATAACTAGACTTACAGACAATTTTGTCAAAGTGTATTAAACTGCTCTTGAATCATTGTTCTACAAACTTCTTCTGCTTTGGTTTCTGAAGGGGAAGTTATAATATTTGTGTTGGTGGTTTCTATATATATTGTTTATCATGAAATCCATGAAAAAAAAACATCTGCATCACTGTAACATAGGAGGTTATAAAATCATATATTAATTTCAAATGGAAAGCATAAAATATTTGAAGTGTTATATGACCAATATATACATTACATGATAATCAAAAATAAATTATGATAAATGATAGAGTAACAAAAGTAATCTCACTGTACTTTAATTGTTAAACAATTAAAAACAGTCTTGCAATATTTAAAAATTGAACATACAAAAATTAGTCTTTTTGAACAAAACACACAGTATGAATAAATAACAACCAAAACATTTGTAATTATGTGAGAAAGCCCACCTAAAATTCTAAGGTGCACATCAGAAGTGATTCAACAAAATACATATAGCAGTAAATAAATTATGTGTAGCTCATGACGACTCCTTTAGAAGGTTCATTGCATACTGTTAGTTAAACAAGAGATTGAAGAAAATATATTGTTTTATGTTCACATATTTTACATAGATGAAATCTATTTCTCTTGAATTGCTCAGTATTAGTACACAAACAGCTTCCTTACTCCACATTTCATCTTTTTTTTTTATTAGTTCCGTACACAAAACTAGTTTAAACTTTATTTTAGCAACAGCAAAATACATCAGAGCTATTTAACAACTAGCATATATGTATATATATATTGTTTTAAAGTCAAATGTTTAGTCCTTTAATGTTTCAAAGAAATCTCACCCAAGAAAATGAAGTACATTACATCTTTTCTACAAGACTCTTTTAGGTGGTGTTGAGCCCCTTGCCTAAGAGCCTGAGTAAGGTATCAAAACAGTAAATACAAGCAGAATGTTTAAAAAAAAAGGCTTAAAGTAAAATACCACATATTGCACTTGCAAGAAAGTTAAAAAAAAAAGCACAAAAAAGATGCCACTCTAGCACCAGTTTTATCATTAAGGTTACACATCCATCTTTAAGATCTTATTTGATAAACAGAAACCTTAAATTATGTTTCTTGTTGTTTGGAAGAAGACACTTTCTCTTGCCTGAGAGAAAAACCTGCTTGGAAAAGCCGGAACCAACACTGCTAAATTCCTTACTTCAGTACCACTAGTTTAACTTGATTCCATCATCATTATAATTTATCAGATGTTTTTTAATGTTGCACATTAAGATGAACCAGTAACTCTTAATGATTTTCTCTTTGTACAGAATAATAAACAAATTTAAATTGCAATTCTTTACAACTTCTTAGATAGCTACACAATAACTTGTTCATTTCTTAGTTAAGAAATTTACAGCTATTTGGATGAAAAACAAAATTATTATATGTTTAAGAAAAGTAATTTTGATTGAACTCAACACCTAAAGTACAATTACATTTGAGTTTAACAAGTTATAACTGTATCTACAAGTTTTAGGACATATGATAATTAATGCATAAATATTTAACAAATATAGAGAATTTAAGAAAATGAAACAAAAATTTTTATAGTACACACTCATTTTACAAATATTCTGTCTGCTTAACAATATTGTACTAAATACAAGGTTTAGTTACTCGATAAGCATTTTATACCGAGTGGTAAAACTTCATAAGTCATACTAATATATTTACACAAACAGATGCAAAATGAAATATATTTTTAAACTTTTAATTTGAGAAAATTTTCCTGTATTATATGCTGCTCTGAACATAAAAACCATGTAAATTTCCTTCTTATAAACCAAACTTCCAAAGCTCACAGAAGTATTTATCAGTACAGGATATTTACTCAAACACTTTACTATCAAAAACAAAATTCAATAACAAATGTGCATATAAAAACTAAATTGGATTTGATAACTTTCATTAGTAATAACAATACACTAGCTAAACTGATATGACTTGTTATTTATAACTGGATGTTTGGATAGCCATATAAACATCACTAAAAGTCTATATTTGGAAAGAATACCAAATGTGATGATGGTAGTTAAAACATACTGGAATGTTTCATATTTAACATTGTAGTCTTTACACTGAACTTCTAATCTCTAAATTGTAATAAAAACTTGTAAGCATAATTAAGAAATCTGTAGTAAACTTTACTGAATGAAACTAATTACAAACCAGAAATCATCAAGCTAAAAACACTCTGAGGTTAATTATTGTAGGATAAAACATAAGTAACTGTCTTTATAAACAACATACATACCAATTCTCAACAACAAGTCACAGCCAGCAATCACAAAACTTCTAGGATATAATGCATTACAAGTAACTCTCAAAACACAGTCACATATTGCACAAATTAAGATAGTGCACAACTATACGTACTATCTAAACTTTTCTTCTTCTATACATATTTAATACTGCTTGATAACATGTGCTTTCTCTTTAACGGACATAACACAATGATAATTTTCAATATGGCAGGTTTCTCAAAGCGTGTACTGATTATATGTAATAAAAGTAGTAGTCTTAATTTAATCAACACTACAATGTAAGTTATATACTATCTAACAATTACGTTTTAATAGATAAGTGCAGTTGCAAACAGTTTATCAAACCAAAAATATAAAGATAAAATTATAAACAGCATTAGCATTTTAAGACAGCTACAACATTAACATCAAATTCTAGTAGATATTACAAATGCCATCAAATGGTAACAACAACAGTACTAAAATGATTCTGAAAATAACAGAGTATTATTTTAAATTAAATTAAAGTGGCTGACAACATAAAAATTACAAGTTTAGTGTCAGTTGAGCTTTTCCAACTTCCAAATGCACAAACAAAAATAAAAACCACAAACAACACAACATTAGAAATAAAAACAACGTATATAGAACAAAAATTTACTAACTAATATACTGACTGAGATTAATGCAATTAGTGATAAAAAAAAAGATTCAATGAGGTCCTCGTGTCATAGATAGCTACATGTACATTGGTTCTAAAGTTTTAAGTTACAGCATGCATTTTGATAAAAAACATGAGATTACATCGAATATATGCAATGAGAATATGTAACATTTAAACACTTCGCTTTGGATACCTGTAAAATAAATACTAGAAAAAAATGTGCATTCTATTTCACAATTCTCTCAAAATAAGTAAACTGATTGTATTTAAAAATTAATGAAACTGAACATAATGTAAGATGTACACGTCAGTACAAAAACTAGTTACAAATAATGTAATTGATATTTCATTCAATACAATAAAGTTCACTTACAATCCGTCCAGAAGTCAATTCCATTAAATTTAATATAAAAAACATAAATCTGTTTTCCTCAATTCCCTAAACAAAACTCTAGAACCATACTCAAACTTGAAATTGCATGCATGTTAAAATTAATTACAGTCTGTAGGTCTCTTACTATGAAGCTTCTGCACCAAAGATAAGCCTAACTTACAAACTTCTATTTATATTCCCAAGTATTATTACGCTTGACACATTAACTAGAATAAACAACAATGCACTAAACAACAGGTTTAAAACTTTCAGTATCTTGACTTATCAGTGTTCCTCAATGATACTAGATTGCTTTTAGAGGTTCATATTCTTCATACTAAAAAAACAATGTTGCATAGTTGTATACACATGTGTATTTAGTATTTTTATGCTGTTGTGTCCAACTAACGAATAGCATATTTTTCTGCACTTCTAGTTTAAGTGTACATTTGTATATATCTATACATATGTAAATGAACAAGATCTTTTCATAACATAAGAAAAATAATCAGACAGATATACTGTTACTGTATGGCATACATTGACACTCACTGGATGAACATATCCATGCACAAAATACGATTTTTCAAAGCATAGATCTTCATTAATCCTAGGTATGGACATTTGAAAAATCAGTGACAAGAAATTTCCTAAGCCTACAGATATTTCAATAATAATATGAAGGAAATGAAATAGTGTTGGAAATGCAACATTTTTAAACATCAACAACCATCTTCTTGTGAATGTCTGTATTCCCAACAACCTGAAAAAAATATAAAGAGAAAGAAAATATGACCTTAAAAAAGGCAACAGTCAGTAAATTTCCTTTTAAGAAAATTATTTTCACACAGACTAAAAAGAATACACTATATTCATGCTACGTGTTTATACACAAATTTCACACCCAACATGAAAGGGCTTAATATATAATACCATAACTTTTAAATTAATAATCACTAATTCTAAGGGATCAGTTAAATGGTTAGTCTAGATTCTGAGAGCATTCAAGTTAGCCTATTTGCCAATAAATTAAGAAATGAGCAATCACTTAACATTTTCAGCCCCTCCTCTCTTTACTAAAAACAATAGACAGTCCCTTGTTTCTTTACTGTTAAAGAATTTTAAAAGATCCACTTGTAATATTGTTTGAATTTGTTGGCAGCAGAATTTTATCTGACATAAAATTTAAGAGATTTTTAGTGTTTTTGAACATTGCACATCAATTAAAGAAAAATCTATGGTTAAGAAAAAATAACTATTACATAATAGGTACTATTTAAAAAAAAAAATAGACTTAATGGCAAAATTCCTTTAAGAACTTTGTCAGAAAAACAAATCAGGTTTAGTTCTGTAAAATAAATAAAAGCATGAGATAAGAAATCACAGACTAAAAAGTTGCTATAATTTTTATTTAAAGCTGAGAAATTAAATATTTATTCAAAATTGGATGACTAGCAGCTGGCAGTTCTATTAATAATTATCGTTGAGGTAAAAAACTAAAACTCTCCAAAAGTTATGTTTAGTATCTCAGGATATGTTCTACATGAGATAGACAATGGTCAAGTACACAACCTTGCTGTAAGTGTAAGAATGAATATTACAATGACAACAGTAAGACACACAGTAACACAAAGTGATCTTAATGACCATATAGCTCCTTGAAATACTGCTGATGAGAATAGATAAACAAACCAAAATGTTAAACTGGGCATTAGACCATAAATAGTAAAGTGAGTAAAGCTGAAACTGTATGCTCTACACACTGCAGACTAATGTAAGTTTGAACTGTTTGGCATTACTCAATGATAGTGTTCAGTGACAGATAGAAGAACAGTATCATTTTCAAGGTACAACATCTACAATGACGATTGATGATCAGTATAAGTTTGGATCTACATATTAGTCAATGGTGTCAGTGATCTAAACAACACTGATATCCTGACTCCTGAAAGATCATGCCCCATCATGCCAATCTCACAGAAACACGATTCAATGTAAAAGAAAAGACAATGACTCCATAACATACAGCATATGTGGTGAAAAACATATCTTGACAGTAAAAAGGCTGATAGAACACATACAATAATGGATTAGCACAAAATCCCAAAATGAACATTATTGAGACTTTTTGGGCTTATATAAAAACTGAGAGGAGTGAGGAGTAATGCAAGACATCCACATTCGTACACTGACACACTGTATGGCAGCAAGATATCAAGGGATAATGCTCTGAGTAAAGCTCAACTCACACACACAACAATATTTCACTGTACAACTTATTCACTATTCTTATATATTTTTTGTGATAATGCTTTGTGCCATTGTTTATTTTTTGTTACTCCTAATCTGTCTCTTATGTTTCAGATGAAATAAAATTTAAGTATAGCTTGATTTATATTTCTTGTTGTATATTACCACCTTATATTTTAATATTAAAAACATAAAATGTTATTTATCAATTCTTATTTATAAGGGCAAGTGAAAAACCTAAACATCTAAAATAAGTAATTTCTGGAATGACGGATTCAATTTCTGCTTGACCAAATCCTAGAAACGTGATGACTCAACCAGCTCAGGATATTAGAAAACAATCATGGATTATGACCCTATTGAAAAACTTAACCATTTTTAAGTTCTAAAGTATTAATATCATAGATATTATTAGTGACCTAAATTAAAGCTGAAAATATGGGTATTTCTATTACATAATTCAATACGACATTGTGACTATTTTTTGTAATGTGAAAAAAAAAATTATAATCTTCCTCTTTCAAAATGTTGATGAAACATGAGTCACATATCCATGCTTTGAATGAATGTTGGAAAATGCCAGTTTGATAATGTGTGGGATAAACAGAAGAATAACGTTATTATCCACTTAAAACTTCTTTCAAGGTTCTTCCCAAAAAATTACAGTATAGTGCCTTGCAAAAGTATTCAGCCCTACCAGTAACATCACATTTTGAAGAAATACAAATAATGTAAACATTTTTATTAATGAACTTGTTTTTATTCAAAACTAATGATCAAACTTAACACTGTTATGTGTGAAGGAGGTTGAATGTCAGCAAAACCTGCAAAGAAAATATATAAATTGAAATTTGCTGATTGCATAAGTATTCAGCCCCATAAGTCAGTACTTGGTGGAAGCACCTTTGTCAGTAATTACTGCTGTGAGTCTTTTTGGATAGGTCTCTACCAGCTTTGCACAATGGGATGGTGTGATTTTTGTTCAATCTTCCTGGGAAAATTGCTCCAATTCTGACATGTTCGTTGGGGACCTTTGATGGACTTCAAGTCTCAATATGAATTTTCTATGGGATTACAGTCAGGACTTTGACAGGGCTACTCCAGAACATTCACTTTCTTCTATAGAAACCACTCCAGTGTGGCTCTGGCCTTGTGCTTCGGGTCATTATCCTGCTGAAATGTAAATTTTCGAACCAGGTTTAGATTATTGGTTGACTCAAGCAGGTTTTCCTATAGGATTTGTCTGTACTTTGCACCATCCATCTTCTCTTCAATCCTGACGAGCTTCCCAGTCCCTTCTAATAAGAAGCATCCACATGACATGTTGCTGCTACCACCATGCTTGACAGTTGGGATGGTCTTGACCAAGTGATGTGCTGTGTTGGGTTTATGCCAGATGTAATACTTTGAATTTAGACCAAAAAGCTAAATTTTTGTCTCATCTGACCACAAAAATCTTCTGCCACATGTGTGCAGTATCATTTACAAGGTTTACCACAAATTCCATACAAGATTTAAGATGATTCTTTTTCAGTAATGGTTTCTTTCTTGTCACTCACCCATATGGGCCAGCTTTGTGTAGGGACTGGGATATCGTCGATGTATGAACACTGACTCCTATCTCAGTTATGGAACTTTGCAAATCTTTCAAAGTCACTGCTGGCTTCACAGCGGCATCCCTAACCAGATTCTGACTTACCCAGCTGCTTAGTTTAGAAGAGCGACCTAATATAGGTGGTAACTGGGTGGTATAAAGCACATTCCACTTCTTAATGATGGACTTCACCATACTCAAAGGGATTATCAGCAACATTAAAATTTTCTTGTAACCTCCTCCTGATCTGTGTTTCTCTACCATTTTATCTCTGATTTGTTTGGTTTTCATGGTTGGTTTGTCATATCACTATGCAAGTTGTGGTTTGAACAGATGCACTTACGCTGAGGTCAAGTTAAACCACTTTGATTACACACAGACAGATACCATTAAACCTTTCAAAGTAATCTTTTGCACCTGAACTGATTAATGGTTAATAAAAAATTGATAATGGCTAATATATTTCTATTTAATAATTTCCTAAAAATAAATAAGAATAAATTCTGTTAAACGTTTTTACAAAAATTAACTGTTTTTGTATCTGTTTGACGTACAAAACAAGAACTCCACTCAATTAAAATCAACCCTTAGACCAGGAATAAACTACAATCAATGTTCAAATTGCTTATAAATATACCTTGATGTTTAGTCCCATCATGATAAAAAGCACATATGTTCAGATTTTTTTTTATAAAATAAATTGAACTAATGAGGAAGGGCTTAACAAGTAGGTGAAAATTATAGATTTTCTGTGCAAAACTGTTTATTTGTTCTCTGATGTGTGTTATAGTTATAACACAAAATATAACTGGTTTGTTATCAACATTTCATACAAATATAAATGGAGAACAGTATTCGTGAGTTTCTACTTACAGCACAAAACTCTTCAAAGGAGATCATTCCATCATTATCTTTATCAGCAAAGAGAATAGTTTTGTCAACAATCTGTTGAAGTTGTGTTTCCTTCAAGTTGTTCCCTACCATCATCTTTAGCACTTGAAAAAGTTCTCCATTGGAGATATAACCATCATTGTTCATGTCATAAATCCTGAAGGCAACTATAAGAAAAATTAAATAACTGAACTAATACAAAGAGACAAAAAATTCTTACCTTCAAGCACATTCATAAAGTTTTTCATTATCTACAGTGGTTTACTTTAAAAATGTCAGAATACTTTGTTTCAGTGACAATGCTTTATAAAAAAAACCTCAAAAGAACCTGTCATATCAAGTTGTGGTTTCTATATAACAAGCCACAGGGAATAACTGTAGTCAATAACTATTCTCTTGTAGAAACTTAATGGAAAATATTTATGTACTAAAAATATTTGAACTAATCATTTGAAACATAAAACTGTGTTTGTGTTCTAATTCAAAAGGTTTCTTTATACTATAACTAAAATTAAGTTAAATTCTACATCTTACTGTCATGAAATGTCATACCTAAACGACCCAAAACAATACAGATGTCTGCTGGTATCAATGTAGAAAGATTTACCCAGTGACCTTTTCAATCATACCAGCAGGGTCACTGTGAACTTTCATTATGTGGTAACGTAATGGACAATATCAGCTATGAATTTATTACAAGAGACCACTAGTAGCACCAAAATTATCACTGAATCTTTCTGACTGGTTATTCAACAAAATATCTTCAATTACTCTTTTATAATACGATATTTAAAATAATTCTATCCTTGCCAGTGGCACTAAGTAATGATGTCTATACTACTAAGAAGTCTGCATGATTAAGTGAGAGTCAAGAATTACAAGCTAGATACAAGATACACCAAAAGTCATGGGACACAGGTAGTTATGAATAAAACATGTTTTTATTCCAAGAAACTAATGGCATGTTGGCCTGCCTTTGGCCTTAATGACTGCTTCAGTGTGTCATGAAGACTATCTACTAATTTCTTGTAGAAAGCTGGTGGTACTTTGCTTCACTCCTTCTTTAAAACATTAGTAAGCTCCACTACTGAAGAGGGCTGTTTTCACCTTGCCCTAATTCTGCATTCCAGTTCATCCCAAAGATGTTCAATTAGGTTGAAGTTGAGACTCTGTGCTCTATACTGCAATGTTCTAATGTTATTCTCTTTACAGCATGCATTCACAATCCTTGCTTTGTGACATGGAGCATTATCACGTTGGAAGGTGTTAGGGCCAGTACCATAAAACTGCCACAATGTAGGACACACAGAATTGTTCAGAATATCAATGTAGGACTCACCATTCATGGATCCATGCACTGCGACCATACTACAAGAAGCACCCCCAGACCATGATACCATCAGCTCCAAACTTCACAGTTGGGACAACACACTCAGGTAATAAGCATTCTCCAGGCATCTTCCACACCTAAACACGCCCATCAGACTGGAAGAGCATGTAATGTGACTCATCACTCCACGATCCACATTTGGTGTGCCTTGTCCCATGCCAATTGACGGTGTGCATTTGTTTTTGTTATCAACAGTTTTTGAGCTGCAGCTCTTCTGTAAAAATTCATGGCATGCCACTCTTGATGTGTCAATGGAAACACTTAAAGGATTGCCTGTGGCTGCTGGCATCTTCAAACACAGATTCTCTAGGATCTTATGGCAACGATGAGGTAACCAGCCTTTTCAAGGCATGTCAGCTCCTGTCAGTATATATATTATGCCTACCTGATAATTTTTTTGGCTTGTTATCACCTGTGGACTTCCATTTCTTCAGCACCCTGCCAATTGTCAGCCTGGGAATGTTTACAATAGCATGTACTGACATTTTCCCCAAATGACATCCAACTATCCTTCCCCCCTGAAACTCTGCTAGCTCTTTCCATGTACTCATCGTTTGGCATACAAAATGACTTCCGAGCAAACCGCTGATCACCTTTATAGGCCAAACTTTTTGCATATTTTGTTGTTACACCCATTTTCCTGCAATCAGAGGCGTGTCCCATGACTTTTGGTAGGATAGTGTATAATAAGCTGTTTCTCAACTTAGTATCAAATATACACTTTTTTTTTCTTCTTGAGTATGTTTAATAACCTAATGAGTACAGCCCAAAAAAACTGAATAAACCAAAGTATGAAATCAGCAAAAATAGAAAAATAATATCAATAACTATACATTTACAAAATCATATACTTTTCACCAATTACATTTAATGAATATTTTAGATTTTTTTGGAATGTATTACTTTTGGAGTTAAATGATGTGAAAGTATATTTATTATTATTTGCAGTAACTGAATTAACAAAGCATAGATATCACTGTGTAATTTGAGTATTTTATATCTAGAGCTGCTAGTAGGGATATTTTAGTTTCACTTATGCTTAAGCTGTACAATCAACAAAATTTCTGGTGTAAATTAGTTTTAAATCTTATATATGTTGTAGAAGCATATCTGTTTGGATTAGTTTTATTCTAGTAATTTAATAAAATTTGTACATGCACATTATTGTTTCATGAATAATTAAAACATTCTAATTATGAATTTCTGGCCAATAATATTGCCAAATATTGGTTAACAGACATAATTTATTCTGCTAGGCAAAACTCATGACTTATTACAGAAACTAGAAAAGTAATTCTTCATTTTGTTTTCAGGTTTAATATATTACTTACCATGTGTGAACACTGATGATAAAAGTTACAGTTCCAGATTATTTATCTAACAAATTCACTGACATTCTTAGAAACTCCTTTGTAATCCTAAAAATATATACATATTTCCAGTATTTTTACATGATATTCATACTAAAAATTAAAACCACAGTCTCATAAAATAAGCAGTAGTATAACTAGCAATAAGAAAGCTAATAAGAAACTAACAGATTAATTAATAATTGTTCAAAAAATGGATAAATTAGTAAAAAACATCAACAAAATTGTAAAATTGTAGAAGAATGGGTACTCACACCTCAGTTTTGATTCCTTATCTCCTTTCACACTAAACTGAGATACACCTTGAATGAACTCTGAAAAACATTTTTTTTTCAATAAAATAGTTTTAATTCAATAAAAAATAATTAAAACAATGAACAAATTAAATTCAAAATCTTACCACATTTTTTGTTGATGATTTTTAAACTAATAAAAATGCAACTCTTTGTTACAATAGTATGACTTTTTTTTTTAAATCTTTAAAGTGTATTTTTTAGCACACCAAATAATAATTCAAAATATCTGAATGCAAAATATTTCAAAAACAAACTTGGAAAATAAAGAACTAATTACATTACATAAAGAAGAATCACTAATGAAACTGGTAATTAGTCCAATAATTTTATAAATATTGCATATATATATATATATATATATTTTTAAATACATGTAAACTAAATTATACAAAACAGTTACATGAAAAACATATATAAATCAAAATTCTATCCTAACCTACACTGTTCTATAAATCACTGGGCTCTCATACTATTTGTCTTAACGACTATTTTTTATCATTTGAATTAGAAATTTCATTGCCAAAGCAAATGGAAACAAAAACAAATTAATAATTCATTAGTTATTAATCTGGAATTATACCATACATTAAAAACATTATGAATTCAATGAAGTTAAAATACTCTGTTACCACAAACATTAAAAATTTCTCAGCAGAGTTTACATCTTTATAATGTACAGAGCTTTTGTTTCAGGCTTTAGCAGCTGAGAGTCTAACAGACCTCTTACTCTACAATTCTGAGGGCACAAAGGAATGTTACAAGGTTCCTGTGCAAAGCACTGTGACACAAAACATTTGAGGCCAAGCACATGGTACTATTCAATGTTGTATGATGCTGGTATCTACCACAAATGGACACTGTGGTCCGATATTTAATTCTAAAAAAAAAGGCTTATACTTTTCTTTCATTAGGTAACATGAAACTACATTAATTTTTGTTTTCTCACTTGGAAAATGTAATATATCACGAGTTGAACATGGAAACATAAAGGATGGAGATTTTCACAGTACTTTTAAAGACTACTAAACTTCTACTTGTATTTCATGGAGCAAATTTATCATAACAAAATCAAACAGCAGAAATAAAACTCCCATAAATAAAAGTTTATTTCTTTAGTGGTAGATTTAGAATACTGATTACTATGAAACAGCATAGATTAATAAATAAATTCCTGTTGATGCATTCTTAAAGAACATTGGTTTCTGAAACTATTTTGATCAAAAACCATTAAGTAGTGACTTATGGGCTTATAAAAAGCCAGGATTCAGAAATGAAGTTGATTCTAGACAGATTACCAAATAATAAAACTAATTTTAAAATGACAAATTGATATGTGGCTGTAAAGAAACAACAAATTTTTTTCAACAATTGTTGGTACACACACACACATTACATTAAAAAACATGACATGCTACTCCACTTCATGTGTTGCCCAGTTCCACAAAAAGCAATATTTTTTGCCAGTTTTTGCTAATATTATGATTTAATATACTGATTAGAGGTGGGTGATTAATTTGATTAACCAATATAAGTAATTTCCTACAAGCATTGATTACATTGATTAGTGTCACATAAAACAATCAGCAGATCAAAGTTACAATTATATTGGTTAATGTCACAAAACTAATCAATTCATTGAAATTAGGGTTTTCAATTATTCCAACTATTCAGTAATTGAAATTACGGTTAATGTCATGAAAATAAACTAATCGAAATTATTGTTTCCAGTTATGTGGATAGAATAGTCTGTGGAGTAAATAGGGAGAAAAGAATCAGATTATGCTACCTAGGGGCACAGGTGGAGGATATAGGTTACAGAGCAGGAGATATAATAAAGGGAGCTAGCAATGATGGAGTTTTTTTGTGTATGTAGGGGATAATGATGAAGGGAAAGGTGGGTCAGAGGAGCTAATTAATAAGTACAAGGGGGTTGATAAAGGCATTCAGAGAAAAAGGCCATAACTTAATTTTGTCAGGGACACTGTCCAGAATTAACTGTGGGGATGAAGTTATAAGTAGGTCACTAGGGCTAAATGCTCGGCTTAGGTTAGTATGTAAGGATGAGCAGATTGGCTGGTTGGACTTGTGGGATCAGTTAAGTGGAATGAAGGGAGCTTTTCGGAATGGATGGTTTACATTTAGGTAGGGTAAGGGCTGGCTTGTTTGCTAAGGCTATTAACTCAGCTGTAAGGGAAGTTTTAAACTAGAACTAGATAGTGGTGAGGGCCAGGAAAAACTAAATACTAAAAGAATAAGAGGCAGAGAAACGTTAAGCATAGGAAATTAGTATAGAAGTAGTTTTAAGTATAAGTTTAATTGTTACTATTGTAATGTTAGAAGTATAATAAATAAAACAGATGACTTTAGAGCACTGGTAGGAATGGAGGATTTTGATATAATGGGAATAACTTAAACATGGTTAAATGTAGATGATTTTGATGACAGAAATTTCTTTGAAATACAGGGTTACAGGCTATTTAATAAGGATAGAGGGAAGTGGCTTTATGTGTAAAATGTGAGTTACATCCTGTTGAAGTTGAGGATAATAAAGATAACTGCAAGGAGATTTAATCCATTTGGGTTTCTATTAGTAGATATAAAGGGAAAATACTTTTAGTGGGAATTTGTTACAGACCACCAAATGATAGTGATGAAATTAGTGAGAAACTTTACAATAAGATTCAGATTTCAGCTGTTAATGAAGTCATAATGGGTGATTTTAATTTCAGGCATAGAGAGAGTCAAACCATGAGGGAGAAAAGTTTTTGTAAACTGTCCAAGATGGCTTCCTTCACCAATTTGTCAAGTAACCTTCTAGAAACAATGCTATTTTAGATTCATTGTTAACTTCAAATATAGAAATGATCGAGATGGTGGAAACTGGGGAACGTCTGTGTACAAGTGATCATTGCTCTATTAGGTTCATTGTTTTGCTGTATATGGAGATAAGGAATAATGATATTTTGGTTATAAATTTCAAAAAGTCTTGTGTGTTACTAGCTGTGAAGAGGATGCTGTTGATTTACAAAAGGATTTAGATCATTTAGTAAGTTAGGCAAATAAATGACAGATGACTTTTAATTATATTATAATAAATCCAAGATAATGCATGTGAGTTATCATAATTTGAATTATAAGTATAATTTGGATGGGAGTAACCTTAACAGTGTTATGAAAGAAAGGAATCTTGGTGTAATAGTCAATCAGTCTCTAAAGCCATCCAAGCAGTGTGCTGTTGCTAGTGGTAAGGCAAATAGGATAGGATTTTAGGTTGTATCTACAGGAATATTGAATACAAGTCTAATGAGGTTATAATTTCATTGTACAGGTTACTGTTTAGGCCACATTTGGAATACTGTGTTTAGTCTTGGGCTCCATTACCTTAGGATAGACATTGAATTGTTGAAAATGGTTCAGAGAAGGGTTACTAGAATGGTGCCTGGGATGGAGGAGTTTTCATATAAGGAAAGGCTGAAATCTCTCGAATTGTTTTCTCTTTAAAAAAGAATAGTTGGG